CAATAATACCGTGCGTACACACACGCGATGGAAAGCGCGCGGACAGTCGTACCTCGCGGAAAAATAATTCGCGCGAAGGTAACGCAGATTGATCTCTCCCGCGTGGTCCATTAGTTCGGGTTACAGGGCTTTTCAAATTAGACGGGAATACGCCACCTCCACCTAGAAGCAGGCAAAGCGAAGGGTACAGCGATGGCGCACTCACGTGTCCTCGCGTGTGATATGGAGTAGTACGTATCACGCATCGATCTTTCATGAGTATAAACGTCAGCGCGTAAATGCGGATGTATCTATAGAATGTCCGAAAACCTACCGAATGTCCCTTTAGCCACAAACTCGAAATATATAAGATATAACATTAGCAATATCATTTAGCAATCATTTCGCAAAGAAATTTTCAATATCCTTTGACACTGTTGATAATTATGTGCATGTTGATAATTATTTCATTTGAAAATTGCAGCGCAGATTATATATCTAAAAGAAAAAAGATAAACCACTTTCAGTCTACTAATTTTCACATCTGGTATGATGTATCGGTTGAAAGGCCGTCACTACATAGCCGGCTTCCATGGAATGGAGGCGAGAGAGCGGATTAGGCTCGGGGGCAGAGACCTCGCATCGGGCTCGAATTTGAAGGCGCCTGCCAGGCAGGAGCAACCACCACAGCCACCAGGGTTGGTTGGCTGCCGTATAAACGAGGGGTGAGATCGGTGAGATGAGTCTCGGAGACGAATGGGTTCGCTCAGGATGTTAAGACCGGCTCGACGCTACGACACCGCCCTTCCCCTCGCCGCGCCGAGCGCCGTAGTCGAGATGATAACAATCGGACGGTGCTGTTTCGAAAAATGGTTCCCTAAAACCACCGGAAAGGCAGTTGTCTCGACACCCGGGACGTCGGAAAGAAAAATATACCGGATGCGAGAGATAACGCGTCGCGGGATTAAGCCGACTCCGGACACAAATCCGGAATGAGCCGTTTATGTGACGGATTCCTACCGCGACGAGACGGCTTGAAGTTTAATATGTAACCCTAAATCCAAATCCCGATACGACAGCGGGTTTCCCGTTTACAATGATCTGGATTTTCTTCGAGAATAAATAGAATGAATTTTAACGAGTTTATGTTTGATTAGGAATGTAACTGACGTAGAATGAGCTTAACGAGTTTAATTAAGAATATATTTGACGTAAAGAGCGAAATAAGAAAGAAAGAGTGCATTAAAGTTTACAGGTGACAAAAGAATTGGTAATTTAACGTCTCGGTGAGAATGTAATTGGACGAACAAAGAATTGCGAGACAGACCGCACACATAAGCGGTCTGTATAAACCGTACAAATGTGTAAATATAACGTCCGTTACGGGGATAATTGAACAGATCTATCTCTTAGGTTTTTTCTGAGCAATCGAATGAACAAAATCGATAAGCGCGCGATAAACAAGCCGAGAGCAACTCTGCGAAATCGCATTAATCTGCCTTCGCTCGCTCGCTCGCTCGCGCGATTCTCGTATTCCAATTTGTCAACAAAACGTATACAGCGAAAATAGCGGTTGGGTTAAAAATTTTCAAATGAGCGAAAGCAGATGTGCGGCTTGCGCGCATTTTGCCGCCGATTATTATTCTCGCATTTCACGTTATTATTTATCGCAGCTAATTGAATACGTACGAGGTGTACAAATTGTACATTTAAACAATCGATACATAACAGTCTGCGATTTTCGCACTCTCTTCTCGATTTTTAGAGAGACGCGATGACGGCAGACAGATTTTGATGTACGTAAGCGCATATTTATTTTATCAATAACCTGACAAATTAGCACACCCGAAAGGGAATAATATTATTATATGTCTTGCACAAGAAAATTAATTATCTGATTAGTTCAAAACGAGATTAAACCGCGCAAAATTGAAGCGCGCGGACGCGCGGTGGATGAGAAGACAAAAGCGCGTCACGATCTATTTAGCATATAGTTACGAAAGATTCATCATTGTTGCAAAGTTACCAAAGCCGTGAAATCGCGCAACGCGTGCTTGACGGGGCATGTAATTAGTATGTTAATTCATTCACCAACAACTCGTATCCAGGATCTCTCAGCATCCTACGCCGGGATGCGGCGTGTATTATGCAACGGATAATTCTCTCAGCTGTCATTCGCGGGACAGGGCGATCATTCGAATGTATGCAAACGCCCGCGCCGAACACTTCTATTCTGCGCGCGAGATCCGGGGGCTTCTCGCGAAAAGGGATGAGAGAATGTAAATCGAATATCGGCATCGATCCACCTCGACAAATCGCGGCGACGCGGCGTCCCAACCGGATGATCGGCGGTAGAAACGACCGCACGACAGTTCATCGAAGTGACACAAGTACGACAGGCGCGGACGGTCGTTTCAACGTTAAACCGTCGGTTTAGCGATGAGCGATCGTCCGATCGTGTGTCGACTTCAAGGTTTTCGCTGTTTATCGCCCGGCGAGCCATCACCGACACAGCGCGGCGTGGCGCGTCGGAATAATATTTCTGCCGCTCGGCATTGGGATCACGTTGACGGTGCGTCGGCGTTTTAATTAATCGATCGCGCGCAATTAATTCATCGGCGCAATCGACGGCAGTTCGCCCACCGTGCGGGCCATAATAATGGGCTGGCGAGAAAGGGAGAGAGAGAGAAGCGGAGTGGCGTTGTGTTTCACGGGACGAGCGATGTCGCCGCTCCCCGTCTACTTACCCCGGGCCCTTCTTATTTAAACTAATTGATTTATTACGCAGCCCGGCTGCTACGAGAGAGCGCCTTTCTTTAATAATCCCTCATTGGGCCCGGGGAATAAGGGACGACGCCATCGCGAAAACTTATGCAAGCGGCGTCTAGACGCGCCGCGCTCTAACGGAGACAATGAATATATTTAACAAATTAAAACAGATCGTGACGGTCGTCCGGATGCACGGTGTCTCAAGCATTGTGTGTTTGCATATATTCTCTTTTTCCTTTTGTCTCTCGCTATAAATTAATTTCGATAAAAAAAAATCGATCTTATATTTCACTTTTATTTCAACATTATTAATTATGACTTCATGTATATACAATCATTAAAAAATTATCTGTTTAAAAGGAAGGTAAAAATAATCTCCAAGTACACGCGTCAGTATGAAAAACTGTTATATATTGAAAAACTGTAAAAAATTGCTTTAAAAATTGAAATGAAAAGGGCCAATAACCGAGCAACAATAGTTGTGAAATAATGAACTTATTAATTTGCTGTTTGCATATATAAATTAGTACATTTCGACTTCACCGAGTCTTCTTCAGTCGTAACATAATAAAATATTTAAAAACGGTAATATATTGACGTATCATAAAGATCAGATTGAAATAAGTCAAACGTTGAATTTTTTTCTTTGCTTACTTTTATATAGTTTGTTTCAACGGTTGACTTATTTCAATCTGTTCTCTATGATACATCAATATATTACCGTCTTTAAATGTTTTATTATGTTATGGCTGAAGAAAACTCGATGAAATGTAAAACATACTAATTTATATATTGTATTTGCAAATTAATAAGTTAATTATTTAACATCTATTGTTGCTCGGTCATTGGCCCTTTTCATTTCAATTTTTGATGCATACGAGCCGTGTTCATTCTTTTGTTTCAATATATCCAATCAAAAATGTAAAGTAATTGTGCATCGCAACATAAATGCTGTTGGTTTCCGTAAAAAAATGTTCAAATAAATAATTTGTAATGTTGTTTAACATTTCACGATTTTAAAAATGTTAAACATTTTTTTCAAAAAAATGTGTTGAAATAAGAAAATTGCGCTAAATGAAAGAGGAAATATGATGAACGTTTTAAAAGATTATATATTTTTAAACTCACCAAGAGATAATAGAAATTATTTTAATGTATATAATATTTAATTAAGATAAAAAAATATTTAAAGCAAAAAATTTGACGCGCTGCTAGATCTCGAGATATAATAAGATAACAAAAACGCACATAAAATTTTTAATTTAAACCTTTTAAAAATGACACACACGTATCATACATGTTTATCATATTTATTCATTTATTTCAACCGTACTTGGTCTTTGGTCTAGCAGCGCCAAGTTTCTTGCATTGAGTCTTTTTTTTTCACTTTAATTAATTAAATATTATATATATATATTTAAATATCTTCTATTATCTAATAATTCATAAGACTTTCGTAATATCTCCGAAAATTTGCAACTGTTCAACGACTGTCGTTCTTGAACAATTGTTACGTATAAATCAGTATATCAAGTGCTTAATTGTGCTCAATTAAAAAGCTGTGAAGAATGAGTTTTAAATTAGTTGAGCGTAGGGCCTCGAAAAAGAAAGGAGCAGCAGCCTCGTAAATCCGCGTAGCCTCGTAAATCCATCGTTCCGTTCTGACAGACATCGTTCCACATCCCTCTGACACGCCATACGTGGCCAAAGGGTTAAGCTTGTTTCAACGAAGATAGAGAGATAGCTTCCGATGTGGCAAGCCGATTTGCCATGTCGAACAAAGGCGAGTCAAGTCGAAGAAAGTCGCTAAAAGGATGGCGTGTTCTCGGGATAGGCGAGGGTCCGCCGAATAGGTCGCCCTCCGGTCGAGTTTATTACCCGAATTAATTGGTTTATGGATCGCCCCACTCTGACGGCAGCACCACGTGCGGTTATATGATGGTGGTGCTGCCAAGAGAGGGAGAGACCAAGGAGAAAACGAAGGAAGAGGAGTTCGACAAATGGGAGCGAGAGAAAATGATTTGAAAATGCAGTAAATGGGGGGATCATGCGTGAGACGGAAGGCCGTAGCGGGGCAAGGGGAGCCGAGAGGGGGGCACAACGAAGGGGAAAGGAGAAAATAAGCAAAAGGAGGAAGAGGAGAGAAGGGGGATCATGATCCGGAGAGTGGTGGTGGAGCATGCGCGGGTGGGAGTGGCACCTTATTCGTTGTACCGCTCCCGCCAAGGGTTTCTGTCAACTACGAACTGCCGATGGTAAAGGTTCTCGGGGTAACCTGTAACAACGAAGCCGGTCGCTCGTTGCCGCGAATCCACGGTATCACGCATGTTTCGCGGAAACTGACTTCCTCTCAAATGTGGCGCGGAGAGGAGTGACGCTCGCTGAACGTCGTGACTTCTTTTTTCTTTAACTTAAAAAAAACAATTACAAAAAACGTGCATTAACAGTGATATATAACTTTCGCGGGATTGTTCATTAAGCCGAGAGATTCGATTGCAATCGCCAGCGAAATCGGTGAAGCGTGTGTTCGAGAGTGGATAGTGCGCTCAAGAGGATACGCGTGAGGAACCATTGGTGAAAAAGGATACAGTGACGACTGACGAATCTGAGAAATATGTGAATTAGAACGATAATCGATGAAAGAAGCCGCGTACTTCGTGACGAGAGTACATCGCAGCGGGAGAAAATAAAAAGGTGCGACAATCGCGATCGCAGCACGTGGCCAGGGAACGAAAGTATCACGTGGGTGCATCGCCGTGTTTCGCGTCCGGGACTCGATTCCGCGAGAATCTGCAAACGTCAGGGGGAATTTTTTTCCGATCCGCGGAGAAAAAGGGATCGCGGCGGTGGAAAAAATCGCGAGGAATTCATTGAGCTGCGAAATAAACGCGAACAAAAATTCACGCTCACTGATCACTGACGATTTGTCCCCCCCCCTCTCTCTCTCTCTCTCGTCACGCGACAGAGAAATAACGGAAAGAGGATAAAAGAGGATCCGGAGGACGCGAGAGTGATCCGGCCGGTAGCCGGATGAAATTTACAACGAGGTATTTCGCGCCGCTCTACCGCGAAGGCTTTCGCTTTGACATTACTAACGAACCGCGGTCGACGGAGACGCCGGTTAATCAACGATGAGGAGTCACCGGTGAGAAAGAGAAAGAGAGAAAAAGAGAGAGAGCGAAACTTGTTCGTTTCCATTTCGAGCACACTTATCCAATCTCGTGCGAAGGAATCCGATGCGAAGCCTGGACTTCTCGAGACGCATCGACGTTCATTCCGCGCGTTAATTAGCGAGGCTCGGAGGGAGCGGCGTTAATGCGCGCGTTTGCGAAGGAGGGTCGTTTCGCAGCGCGAACGAGGGAACGAGGGACCAGCTTCGTGAGGGAGTGATATCCGTTTGACGGGGAAATATATACGTGTACTCGGTAGCGCGGCGCGCACCTGGGCAACGTCGAGCGTGTAAAAAAGAAGAAAGAGAGAGAGAAAAAAAGAGAAAACGGAAGAGACGCCGAGCCTTCGCGTAAAAAGTTCGCGAAAGCGCCCGAGGGAAGTTGCGGGAGACGAAAAACATTACGGGACAACGTTTACAGCGGAAATAGCGCGCCCCGCCGTCTAACAACTGACGATAAAAGGAGGATCGTTAAGCCCGAGAGGACCTCTGCGGAATGACCGAAGTAAGCCGGAGTAATAGCGAAACTACTTTCGCGCGGATGTACGACGGCTAAGGTGCGCTTATTGCCCGGTGTGGCTTCCACGAAAAAACACGGTGTCGAGAAACGTTTCTGCTCGCGTGGAATCGAGAAAATTTCCAGGTTGAACAAATAAACCACGGGAACGTGATAATTCAATTTTGATTTAATTCGCAAGTGGTACTTCTATCGATCCTTACGATCTTCCGAAAGAGCAGAGATTAGAAAAACGACATCGGGACGCGGAGGTAAATCACGACGGGAACGTCGAGAAATTCCACGCGTTCCATTAAATCCGAACGCAGGGTAGAATTTTTTTCGCGCGCGTGATCGGTATTCCGGTTCTTCTTAAAAAGCAACGAGAAGAATCTTCTGGCGAGAATCGAAAAGCGTGCAGGGAGAGACGTTGAGGGCGAGGACAAATCGGCGGCGAACGCGCAGGAATTCCGCTTTCCGGTTACGATCGAAATCAACATTCAAATGCGGACGGCGCTCGACTGTTTCTAAAGCATCGAATATCGATGCCGACGATCTTCCCTCGGAAGCGAGGAACACGTAGCGTCGTCGAATCCGCTGAAGAACGAGGAAGAGCGCGTTCGTTAATACGAGTCTGCGGCAGACTCGATTAAGCGGAAATTCCCGGACGGCGCAAATTCTGCGGTATAACTCTCATTCTTTTTCTCGACAAACGGTACAAACGGCCGCGATTATCCTCCCCCCATCTGACCTCTGACCCCACCCCGCGCGCAAATGTCAAGTGAACGATGAAGTACTCGAGGGTGCAGACGGGGAAGAAGTGGAGCGCCACTTTGCTCGGCGACGAATCGTGCTCCAGGTGCGGCAAGTGTCTGACTAAAATGCAGCTCGTACTACTGTCAGCGCTATTCTGCTCTACTCTGACGACAGGTAAGGCAGCTTTAATCTCGCCAGAACATCTCTCTCTCTCCCCTCTCCTCCCGTCTCCCTTCTCGTTGCATAATTTATTTTTTTTCCTCGCTATTTTAAGACCGACTGCGATTTACATGCTGCCCTTTGATCGCAGCGTATTTTTAATCCTCCCAAGTGAGATTTTCTGAATTTTTTGAAATATATATAAATCCGACTGTGTCGTAGCACCCTCGAGATCTCACTTTTAAATTATACAACGAGGAGTTTCGAATAGCTGCGGAACAGCTTCCTTTTCCGTACCGATATAAACGTCACGATGATGACATTTACACGATCGAAAAGAGCGAGTAAGATTTATCTACGGCAGAGCTGCGCGCAATTAGCATAATGAATAATTGTGCCGCGCGCCCGTGATACGTCATTCCACCGATAAGTGCTTAATAGGTAAATTAACGGTGACAAAGTGACGCAATTAATCCGGTAACTAGTTATTAAAGTCATCGCGGATACGCCACGCACACCCCATCGCTATTATGGCGGTAAACCTCGTTTTACCGTAGGCTGAAAAGAGATTGGGATCATAAATATTCAGCGACGTTTAAAGCGAACGCCCGGCGGGAAATTTTCACTTTGAACGATATACAATGAAATACATTGTACATGTGCATATTTACGCCTCTGTGTAAATGATACACTATATATATATCAGGATCGCGTAAGCGAAAGACGAGCAATTTAACAAGAACTCGGTGTCGTCCCGCGTAACGCGACAAACTTAGCGTAACCGATGTAACTCACGTGCAAAGCGACTCGGGCTCGTAACACCGAAAATTCAGTACTATTACACATTCCATCCGGGTGACTGGAATTGTCGCAGATATATATACCGCAGATTGCTTACCGGTAATTAAGTTGTATTAATAATATGCAGCGAACAATTATTACGGACATTAACCGTTATTGCTTTGTGCCGCGCTCTGCGCTATTCATAACATTAATGCGAAATGATTTTACGTTGAGCCATAAATTTTCGTTAAATCTACACACACACACACACACACACACACACACACACACACACACGTCACGTTTCACGCGAAAATCTGTGATTACAGTATGATAATTTTATACGTGATCTTTTAAACGTAAATTACGCTTCACGGCGTCCCTTTTGATCGGAGGATCTCATATACTGAAGAAACGATACTTAAGTTTCCGAGATTATTTTACGTCGCGAGATCTCTCCTCAAGAAAAATATGTCGGACCGAGGACGCCCGTATAAATTTCTCGAAACAAATATTTTTATTCCACGCTGTGGAAACAATCTCGCAATTTCAGTGTGTGTCAGAGACAAGACCGGGCAATTTTTACGGCTGTGTGAAAATTTATTCAAATCGGTTATGTGCAAAACTCAGGGCGATCATGGTGTGTCATTTGTTTTCTCCTAAGAACGCGCACCGGCACGTAGTCCCTCCGTGTCACCGTCGGAGGTCGACGTCGCGGTCGACGGGCTCGCGTAAACGCAGTCCCGACCTGCAGAGAAAATCCGATCCCGACAAGAAATCGTAATTGAGACGATTCGTTCGCTCCGCGCGCGCTGACCGCGACTACCGTGATCAAGCTTCCCTCGAGGCAAGCGCGCGAGGCGAACGAATCCGTTTGTCGTGAGACTCGATCGATCGACGGATATAAATCAAGCACGATCGTAGTGGAACCTAAATTTCCTGCTTGCTTCGAACAAAGAAACGCGATCGTTTTCGTGGATGGAAGGTACCGACCGGATGGGAAAAAGAAAAGCGCTCGGGAAAGGAGGAAAAGACCGGGAAAAGAAAGAGAGAGAGAAAGAGAGGAGATCCGGTAGAAAGAAAAGGCGTACGGATGTGGACGAATGCGACGCGGCGGCGGGCAACGGAAGGAGATTATGCAAACGGCAGCCAATTCGATCGAAGTGCACTGCAAATAACCGCAGTTTTAACCCATTCGGCTAAATGCACGAGAAAGGCCGGCTGCCTGCCGTCCATTAGAATATCGCGCTCAGACGCGTAATCTCAGACGTCCACAGCCGAACGTCGCGTTTGTCGGTGTTTGTCGAGAAAGCGGGGCGGACTTTAGGCCAGGTTTCATTAAAATTTTACTATTGGTTGACTCGCTATGTCATTCGTGAAATCGCCCCTTCTACCGCCGGTCGGTTAAGTTCCGTCGACGAAAGACGTTCCCTCGGTCCGTGAACAAAAGCTGATACATGGTGTTATCTATCTCTAAAATGACAGAAATTATACAAACTGTATGAAAAACAGTGTGATATAATATTATCAGTATAAGTATAATATTTATGAAATATATACACAAATGAATGAAGGAATAATAAAAGCCAATAATCGATCGATAAATTAATCTCGTCGACTTTATCGCAAATCGGGGTTTTACATAATCATATTGCATAATCAATCCAGCGATAAATATTGCGTGTATTTTTAAAAGATGCCGCGACAAAAGTGCGCTTTTATAAAGTAGTTAACAATTAAACTGCTAATACGTTGATTAAAACTTATTATCGAACGAATTGATGGGCTGCGAAACGGCGCGCTACCGTTTTGCAGGATAATACGCAGCGAGCATGAAAAGGGGGCAGTCACGCGAGATTACTGGTAATACCTGCTAACTGTAGCTACATTTGATTGTGATATCCACCTATTCGCAGTATTTTCAAGAGTGGTCCGCCGATAGCCTCATCCGGCTGCGCCTCTTTGGCGGTATTAGCGAGCGAGATTCGAACTCATGCCCGCGGATTAGAGTACAAGTGACTCCATCGACGCGAACGCGCTACCGAGAGAATCACGATGGCAAATGGCAAAAGTTGTTTCATCGGCGCGTTGAACAGACTGTAATATACACGGTCCTATAATATACGCGAAACGCAGATTAAATATATTAAAGATAACCGGTACACGGCGGAAATGGTTGAAAAAAGAATCTCGCGCGCGCTTTAATTTATGCCGAGCGAAAATTTCGCGACGTGTTATTTGTAGCATTAATCGTCTTAAGATTAAAATGCACCCGAGGCCAAAGATTTTACTATTTATTTTACATTTGATGTACGGCTCAGCTCGCCATCAGGCCGTCCTAAATTTCAACGTTAAATATTTCGCTCAGTTAGAAAGTTGCTGTGTAAAATTTTTAGAAATATCGATTTCAGGTACTTCTTTAATGCGGTCAGAGGCGGAATTGGGGCCATATTGGCTTGCGAAATTTTACGCGCAAAATTGTGCCGCAATAACAGAAGCTAGAATAAAGCCCAACGGCTTCTTGTAGTTTCCTGCGAACAGATGAGGAGGGATGTGAACTGCTGTATGCGTGACGTGCGAGTAGGATCGTTCTAGCGAAGCTAGCATCAAGGGAATTAATTCGCTCTTATCGCCCCGCTAAGATCGGTCGCTACGAAGGGTTTGCGGTATTCCAGTCGAATTATTATCATGCTTAATAACATTCCGTGAACGGCGTACGTACGTACGTACGTAAGTGCACAAATATTACAGACACCATGGTGAGGGACACACAGGGAATAACACGTGTCAGCTTGCGTTTCACATAAAGTCTTGAGAGCGCATATAACTTTTGTATTTTATAGTCACGTCTACAAAGCGCATCTCTTACATTTACAACCACGAGCGAACGTCGTACCGTTCAGACCGCGCGGATTCGAATTATAGATCGCGATTGATCATAAAAGAAACTTACCGAATAAATGCGCATATTAAATAGATTGCGAGAGGAACTTCTTCATTAATCAATCCACTTCCAAAATAGCGAACGACATGTTTCATGTATAATGTACAGTTGTCTGGCTCGGGGAAGAAAGTCCCGGGCTCGAAAAACCCGCTGTTTCATCCGTTCTATTCTCTTCGCGATTTATTCGCGCCTCGTATTCAAACACATGCATATATGTTATTTTAGACAGTGCCTTTCTTAAGCGTTTCTTTATCCCGCGCCCGGAGGTCAGCGAATTATCGATCTTCAGAAAATTAATAATTCGCCGGTGCACATATAGATGAGCTTCGAGTCTAAGAACTCCCCTTTGTAAGTATCGTCCGTAAAATAATGCACTTCTCAAATAATTCCCCTTAATGGCAGCTTCTGTAGGTACGCGAGATTAATGATCTCGCAAGATGGCCTTTCGAATGGGGGAAGGGATAATAACACGGCGTGCTAACGGGGGCGCGCATAATGTAGGTCATTCCCGCGTGCGCGCGGAGTCGGTCGGACCCTCGTTTCGGTGTAGCCGGGGCGCGTGTTAGGAAGCAGAATATACACCCGAGCCCATCACGCCGGAGTGCGTCATTTTCATACGTAAACACGCAAGGGGTAAAGGACGTGAGAGGACGGATTAGGGAATGGCGCGCATCGGCAATAAGACAGATGGTTTCGCCGCGTTCCAGACCGCGCGTCGTCGAAGTACCTGCCGGAGGACCCCTCCCCCTCGTGCAATCCCGCCAGGGCGATGATTCTGGTCTGCTCCTGAAATAATCCTCCCCCCGCTCCCGGTACAGCGAACGGCAAATCCAATCTCGCGCCGACGATTAATTCGGAAGAGCTCACCGTCGAGGACTTACACGATCTCGGGAAACTCCCGAAACTCGCTTAAAACTCTCGCTCGCGCATCGAGAAGACACAGCTTATTGTAAAGTGGCAGACGACTGCCACTTTACAATTAGGTGACTTTATACCTAATGCCACTTATATCAATGCTATTTTAACCCTTTAAAGCATATATTTTTCTTTACATACGAATTCGTTGAAACTTGGTATGCAGAGGGTTTCGAGGTCGCTGATCACAAATTTGGAATCAGATTTTGCATTAATTTGCAATTTTTTAAAACTAATTTTCAATTTATTTTTTGCAACTTTGATCCGCTATGTTAAATATACCATTTTGAATTTTTGTATTTTTATTTCATATTCAAAATCAGCAACTCAATAAAATCTTAGATATCAATTTATGGTGTAAATTTGACTTTTT